GCCATATAAGGTTGTGAATAAATGCAGCACGTTCTGGTCATGCTGTGCGTATGAAGGACCAGATCTGCCAAAATGAAAAATAAAGGACTTAGTAAATTAATATATGAAGTAGAATTGCAAAGAATAAATGATGATAAATCTAAAAATAAATAAATATACATAACAATCAATATATTAATAATTAAAACCTTATATAAATTGTCTGCATTTATTTATATGCCTATTTAGTCATTTCCCCTTCTCACTAATTTTTGTATTTATTTTTTTGTTATTTATTTGTTTCTTTATTACCATTTTTTCTGTTTTTCTTTTAAGTTCTTTTATTAATTTATTTCCATAACTATTAATTTCTATATTTATTTATTTCTATATTTGTTTCTGTATTTCTTTGTCCTTATGCTAATAAAGGGGCTGTCAGTCAATGATGTCACAGCATCTTAATATTCCTATTGGTTGATCGATGTCAGATTCTGTAGATCGGTTGTTCATGTCTTGCTCTATCAGCGGTCAACTAAGGACAAGACAGTACAGTGGTGGCTTCTTACAGCAGCAGACAGTCAGAGATCTGAGAGTCTCGGCTGGTCTGGCTGAAAATGCAGGTCTGGATTATTGACTCTCCCGTTGGAGGCTGTGGGGACAGTTTGGTCCATTTTGCTGATCTGCTGATTCAGAGGTCGACCAGTAGTGTTCAGAACTTTGGAGGAGGTGATTCAGCGTCTTCTTCTGCAAAATTCAGATCACTCAGGCATTCGGACTCTTTTTCACACGCTGCCTGTGGAGCCATCGAGAGTTATTTATTCGGCAGGTTTGTTTATCGGTGACTGCAGTTCTTTATGGAGTGAAAGAGCAGTTTAATCAGCTCTTCTCCTCCTGGGCTTGATTGCGAAGCCTGAACATGAAAAACACGCCCCCTCATTATCATATGAACGACGAAATACAGAAATAAATACATTTCTAAACGAATTAATGAAAAAATAAATACATACATGAATACATGAATCAATGAATAAAGCGAACAATTGTTAAAAATATAGATATGGAAAAAATATAAAAATGGCATTAATAAAACAAAACAAATAATACAGAAATAAATAAATTGAGAAATATATAACTGTAGAAAAAGGAAATGTGTATAATTACAATCACAATAAGCAATATACACTTTATTTAGTTTTTTTTTATTTATTGATTTATTTACTGAGCCATGTATTTTTTAATTTTATTTATTTTTCAACTTGGCAAATCTGGTCCTCCATAGTGCGTGCAGGATCAGGGAAGCGCTGGCTAGAATATCTTATGAAAGCAGAAGTATTTGGGGTGTAGGACAGGGGGCCGAGGTCAATCGCTATATAAGGATACATCATGTTTTTGTATCTAGGCAGCTAAGCGCTTCGATCAGAGGACAGGGTGTTTTGTCTTACACTCTGCAAACAATACAGCAAATACACTGGATTAACACAATTTCCATAACAACTTAGATATCCGAACCGCTCACCACTCACTTACAGTCTCTGCTTTACACTCTCACTGGGGCAGGACCCCTCTCGTCACTGGGGTGGTACCCTCAAGGGTACATCTCAGTACCTCTAGTCAGGGAACAGAACTGTACCATTGTCAGGGCGTGTACTAATGTTATTGCCCTAAGAGCTAACTGCAGTATAACATCTAACAAAATAAGGAAAGTGTCAAAGTGTAAAAGAGGGGGTATCAAATTACCCCAGATAAATGGTATAAACTGTTGTTTGGAACACTGTAATTGTGCAGTTGGGGTCTCTCGAGACCCTGTGCCACCTGATGCTGAAATAAAGAAGAAGCCTTTTCTCCCTTCCACAAGAACTCAGCGGCTGAAGTCTTTTATTCTACTTTCTTTTATTTTTGGTTGAATACCCTTTTTATTTTTGTTTATTTTGTTTTTGTTTATTTTTGACAATTAAGACAATAATTAGAACAAAACCACAGCACAGAATAGTTTACATTTTAAAAACCATCATATGTCGGGGCTTTGGACAAGGAAGAAAACAGCTCTTGGTCCCGACAGTAATATGATCTAAAATGGGAGGGGCAAAGGAGGTGCTGGGTAAACCCCTCCTTTGCCCCAGAAGTGTCTAAAAGTTTTAACAGTTCTTTGTGATTTTCAGTTACTCCCTGTTTTATGTCAGTTGCTCTTGAGATCAGCTCGGATATACAGCGGTATGCTTTGCGAAGCCTTAATCTACGGTGAAAATTGGATATGAATTCTGACACTCCTTGCTGTTTTGATTATTTTATTTTTGAATTGGATATAAGCAGTTTTTGACGAACCACGACTCCGAGCCCACCTGTTCACATTTTTATTAACACAGATTATTATATAAACCCAGTTAAAACAAAGAATTTAAGGTACAGCTGGACTGATTCGTGTTTGTCCATCCTCTCTAGGCGTGTCTGCAGTGATGTCACTCTAAAAACTGTACAAGACTTCCTAGGTAGGTAGCATAAACCAGCATTGCTGGTCACCAGTAAAACCAGCATATGTTGTATTTTGGATGCTGGTCAGCAGCTGTCGGGCCTAAGAGCCTCTCTTCTGTGCCCAAGGCCCCTGGACAGATGCTATCACCCTAAGAGCTAACTGCAGTATAACTTCTTCTAACAAAATAAGAAAAATAGTCAAAGTGTAAAAGAGCAAAGTAAAATAAGAGACTTCAGTCACTGAGTTCTTGTGGAAGGAAGGAAAAGGCCTTCTTCTTTAATAAAAATAATAATAATAATAATAATTAATAAATAAAGATTACTTATTCAAAACATCCGTCACCATAATCCACTGAAATGATATGTTCTAAGCTGTACTGACTCCACACAGCCCGTCTCGTCTCCAGGCTTTTATTTTACTGTTCTGTTTTAAAACATTCGGTTATGAAAAGGTACAAATACGAACTTTTCACCTGGACAAACTTATTTAAGGTACAAAACTGGACCTTAAAGTCACTGTTGTACCTTTTAGGGTGTGTTTACATTGTTTGTACCTTGAATGAAAAATGTACCAGCACAGCACTTTCATTTGTGACAGTGTACAAAGAACACAACCGTGCCAATTCTGAAGTGTCCCCTCCCGTACAGTATAACCTACTGCTTATATAGGGTGGTTGTTATGGAAAAAGGAGACAGAACATATGGTCCTTCTTAGAATAGTCTCATTCATCTGGAACTAAAGTGGAAAAGGACCTTGACCCTTGGACGTTTGGACCAGGGGCCCCCTCACTTAAATATTCCAAACCTGCAACGTCAGATAACACCTGGAGCTTGGATACTACACCTACTTCACAGAAACGAATAGAAGTTATCGGAAACTATGAAAAATCCTTCGCACTGTTCATCACTTTACCTTACAGAAGACACAGAAAGGTCCTCCACACTCTGTGTAGCAGCTTAGGGTGTGCTTTCAAGCGAACATTGTGATTGGCTCATTTTGTCAATAGTCGATAGGGGTGGGAATCACCAAAGGCACCACGATACGACATTATCATGTAACTTCAGTCGCGATATGGTATTACTGCGATTTGAAACTTTTAGTGATATGCTGAGTATCATGCGACGGTGTTTTAGGGCCCCTGTTAATAAAAATAAAAATAGTAGACTTGGAGAATAAAGTCGCACAACAAAGTCGTAGAATTACGACATTAAAGTGGCATTAATACCAGAAAAGGTCGCAATATTGTGGCCAAAGGCTTTGCAAAGGGAAGGCAGTGGCCTTATTAACAGTGGCCCTGAAATGCTGCTGTAGTATTGCAATAACATATGCTGCAATACATTTTTCCACTGAAAATTATGTCCCCAAAGGAAAACTTAGTCAACATCTGTTTTATCAGACGAAATCAAGTTTTCAGTCCATTTATCTCACTTCAGTTATTTTTTACTGCAGCAAAATGGGACTGTCAAGCAGACATACTGACCAACACGGTCATAAAAACTTTAAGTTTATAGAATAAAACATTGATATTCTCGTTCGTATATCGATACAATATTGCCACTCAAAACATTGTGATAATATGCTGTATCGATTTTTTCCTCCAACCCTAATAGTGGAATATAATGATGTTTAAAGGAATCTGCTGCCCCATCAACCCAGTTTCTGCTTGTTCTCTCCATTCCTGCTGCTCTTCTCCTCTTCTCGATTCGTCTGTGTTCCTCTGGGGTAGGAGAGGAGCAGTAGGAAAGGAGGGAGAGGACAGGAGCAGCGGCAAATGTTTCTGGACGCAGCCCATGTCACCTTGGTTACTCCATACCCCATGTGTCAAACACAAGGCCTGTGGTCCGGACCAGGCCCGCCACACAATCCTGTCCGGCCTGAAAAAGCATTTTTATTTTCTAATATTGGCCCATTTTACAATGTGCTGCACTACAGTCCCCAGCATGCACTGCAACTTAATGAGCTCTGACTCTCCTACCCCTACAACAGTCTATGGGACAGCGGTTACACCTCAATTCCACACCAGTCATATCACCAAAATGCATTTCAGCTGCAGTTCAACCAGTATAAACACTTAATGTGAGCTCAGAAATTGAGCCCAAGTCTTAAGGAACTAGGGCCCTAGTTCAAGCAAACAGGTAGGTTTAAAAGGCTGAGCTCCTGGGGACGTTTACATTTTGAATAATTCAAGTATCCATGTAATGTTTCAAGATCTACTACAAGTGTCTGTTTTTCACTGTTGAAGTTTTTGCATATTTTGAATAAACAATGGCCAGTTCGGGTTACAGCACAAGATTAATTAAAAATGTAATAAAAAAAAGTTTTTTTCTCTTGACACCCCTGCTCCACACCATTCACCCTGTTTTGACTCCAGGCTTTTTATTTGATTTTATTTTCTCTTTTTTTAAGTATTAAGTGATTAAAAAGGTATTAATACGCCCTTTTCCCACCTTTGAAGGTACATCTACATAGTTTGTACCCTGATGAACAGAAATGCACCTACCAACCAGAAAAACATGCACAGGATGACAATGCTAACATTAACATCACTCACCAAAGTCTGGACAAAGGCCGATTCTGTGCTTAGATGTTCTTCAAAAACGAAAATCTCTTCGATCAAGAGGTCAGTGAAAACTCTAGAAGTGGTGAACAGCTCCTGACTTGCACTCAGAAAGCTCCTGTCTCCAAAAGCACAGAGTGAGCTAGAGGAGGAGCTTCTGCCCTGAGCAGAAGTTACAGACACAGCGCCATCACCTGGCCTGAACTGACCCAGCAGGCACTTTGTGTTAAAATGTGAGAACACTGCATCTCAGTATTCAACATATTTGTCTGAGTGTAGAATTTGAACACAGAAACGCTGCCGTGACACTGAAAGCAAAATTTGTCTCAACATCACTGTTTAATGCTGAGGCCCAGTCCCATTTCTTATTTTTACCCCTACCCCTTGTTTTCGAGTGTCGCCCTAACCCCTCGGAACTGAGTTATAAGGGGTAGTGGTTGAAATCTTCCCTATGAAATGGGACCCTCAAATAAAAAGAGCATTACTTCATTAACAGCTACTAGCGCTGCTCTGTAGGCGACCCTGCCAGTCTGCAGTGACAGCAGAGGACGGTAAAGTTCAGCTCCTCACTGCTGGGATTTAGTTACATTTAGGGCATCATATGACTTCAAAGAGGGGGGCAATTATTTATTATCACCCACCCCTAATTCTTCAGTGATATGAAGCTGAAGTCAGATATTCACCAGCTTCTTGTTCAAATTTTCCTGTTCCATCTTAAATGGTGCAGCAGTTACATTCTGGCGCTTCAGGCTGCAGCTACACATACTTGGGTACTGCTGGACTATTTAAGGTGGAACGGGAAAGTTAGCTAGCGACCGAAACATTAGCATGGTATTAGTGATTTTTTAAGTTTGTTGTTATGAAGAAAACGACCAAAATACATTGAAACAACATTAAACTAAGATAATAAGATGGTTATCGTAATTTGTAATGGAGAAAATTTTCACATCAGTGGGTTTGTTGCCGGTTTTTGTTTTTTTTCTGATAACACTCAGTTTGGAGTCTCTAAAAACCCTCAGTTTGGAGGGCCATGTAGCCCCAGCACTTCACCCTACCCCTCTATCTCAACAAGAATTGGGACACTCTAACCCTAGACGTGAACGCGCAAAACAGAGGGCTAAGGGCCAAGTGGTAGGGGCGAGGGGTGAAATGGGACTGGGCCTGAGTGTGTTTACATACACTTAATAATCCGATAACTGCAGAAAATCTGATTTTGTCAGTAATCCGATCAACACGTTTACATGCACTTGAGTAATCAGATAATGGGGCCACTTCCTATTTCCCCCGTTATATCAAAAACAGGACTGCTAAACAGCAGAGAGCGCCCGCGAGGGAGTCCTAAATGAATGGGAGTGAATGGAGCTCAATGGCTAAAAACAAAAAGTTAAAATAGTTTCTAATCACTGATTAGACTTATTGGACAGTCCTCATTTTTGGGCGTAAGTCATCTGGCTAACAGAAACCCTGCGTTGTGAAATACCCACTTTTTCCAGATGTACCTTCTGTTTCCACTGAAGTGTAATCATGACTCCAATTTCGCTTCTTCAAAATCTTTTTTCGCACAAGATCTCAATGGCCTTATTCTCCAATATCTTATTAAGTTTTTTCTTAAATTTGTTCCTTAAAAAAGGTCCTAAGAAAAAGTCTAAATCAGATTTTTGGCATTTTCTCACCTTTGTGCTCTTGAGTGTGTGTAGATTCTGTTCTTACCTACGAACAAATCCCAGATAAGAAAACACTGGTGAATGTCAGAATCTTCATGAAAACTGTGTGTCATTGCACATGTCCATTTATTTATACACATTTTCGAACAATTGCTAAAACACTGTTTTTATTTGGTTGCAGTCCAACAGTAACGTTAACTCCAGTCCTGACTCATGTTTATGCTCCAGTCTTCCCTCCGCCGGTTGATCCGTTGTGAAGGTTTAACAGCTGTTTTTTTAAAAGCGTGATTTACACATTTTTTCCTAAATTTTTGCATAATTCCATCGTTGCGATTTAAACAGAATCAGAGTGGTTTGATGTGAAATGGTTAATTGTAGAGAAACTTAAAGAGTCAGATTTCACATTTAGCTTTAGTAGGTGTGCTGGAGGGCCAGGGTTTAGAGAGGAACTCCACCAATTTTTCAAAATTTCTGTAATTCAGTGGTTGAGATGTAAACAGAGTCATTCAGAGTGGGTTTGGTGTGAAATGGTTGATTGTAGAGACTCAGATTTCCTTACAGTGGTGGTGATAGGAACCAGGGGTCACCATGACAACAACATAAATATAGCCATTTTATTTACTATCCAAAACCACCAGTGAACCTCCACGACTCTTCTGAGATTTTCAAATGGTAAAATAGTGTTAAATCTGGAAAAATAAGTTTTCTTTGGGGACTATTTTGCCTCACCTTGCCCTGCATGTAACCCTCCACTATGAATGGATTAAAATACCATGACAACAACACAAATATAGCCATTTTATTTACTATCCAGAACCACCAGAGAATTTCTCTAGAATGAAGCATTTCACAACAAACCACTCAGAATGACTTTATTTACATCTTAACTCTTAAATTATATATACATTTTGAGAAATTGGTGGAGTTCCCCTTTAATATGGGCAGACAGGAAAAATTGCCTATGTCTGAGTTCGTATATGAACAATGAGAGTTATTATGCAAAATTAATTTTCAACATTTCTTCAGTTGTAACTTTAAAATAATCTATGTATTTCAGAATAAAACACAGTAGTCAGATGAGCACCATACCAAGCCATGTGTTTGTTTATTTATATTAATCTTCACACCTGTATGGTTCAGAAAAGTACTCTGCTACTATATTGTATTTGTATTACTGTATGTATGGTCACAATGTCTGTTCCAGTTTGAAACGATGTTTGAGGAGATATCAGAATCTTTCTTATAACGAAGTAAAAGCTGTGAGGATTTAAAATGTTTTGAACGCAACCAGCAGATGGCGCAGTTCTGCACTTTCCCTCCTCACAGCAAAGAGCGGATATTTATACAGACAGGAGTTTTCCACAAGTACATGATCTGTCTTTATGCTTTATCAATCAAGATGAATCTTTTTTCATATCTAGCAGCGGTTTAAGAAAAAAAAGCAGAGAAAAAAAAAACATTTTAAAGGGCCCATATCCTATGTTTCCTTATATTTGTATTTTTCCCTTGAGGTCCATCCAGAACACTTATGTAGATTTGTGTACCATAAATGGTCATAAGGCATTATCACATGACCGTTTTCCAAACCACTCTTAGAATTAAATCCCAGAAAAAATGTTTGTGATACTAAACTCGAGTGTTACATTAAACATCCAGCATAGCTTAAATAAAAAATATGATGTAAATAGGCCTACAATAAAACACAACTTAAAACCTGTTGATCATGGTGTGGGCGTGGCTAATAGGCAGCTTGATTGACAGCTCTCTGTCCATCACTTCTAGCTCCGGCCCTCATACATATCCAGCTTTTATGTGATGCTAACTGGACGAAAACAGTCACGGACAAACCCGTATTTTGTGCTGGATAAATGCGTGAACGGGCGACAGGCAGCTATAGACAGGTGGTCTAGCTTGCTAGCCTTTGGTTATGCTGGGTTAGCTTTAGCTCGCTAAGTTTCTCTGACTCTAAAACAGTATTATGTGGGCGGGGCAAGAGACGCAGCCCTGTGATTGGTCAGGGCAATGCTTATGGAACCATTACCCAAGATTAGGACAGTTTACATCAAAGGGGGAGAAACATGCTGAAATATATCAATCATTTATGGCCATTGGAACATTATTCAAAGGAAAAACTTAGTACATGTTTACTGTTTGCCTGCAAAAACGGGAGTAGGAACCTCATAAGACAGAAAACAGATTTCGGTTCCCTGAGTATTTAGTAATACATTAAAATTTATTACTGTGCCTTTTAAGACTGGATTCTGATTGGCTGCCCTGTATTGTGCCTCTTTCAAAAAGCACATAGCTGAAACACTCCCATTTCAGTGTGAGTGGGTGGAGCTAAACTTCTGTGGGCTGAACTGGTGGGTGTATGTAAATGAGTTAGTTCTCCTGACGTCACAGAAACATTGAATTTAAAATGGGCTGTTTCTGGAGCTCAGTTTCTGTAAATAGACTGTGTGGACTGGAGGGTGAACGACACGTTTTGAAACAATGACGTTGTTTGCAAATTACTTCAAATTTCTTTATATTAAAAAAGCACAGGAAGTTGTTTTTCCATGATATGAGCCCTTAAAATTTTAAATGGTTATGTGTCAGTTTATGGAGAGCCAAATGGGCAGCAACGAATCGACTCCATCAGTTTTTGTAACCATGACCATGAATATGGAGAATTCTGAGACCAGTCCTCTAACCAGTCCACGCTTTGTGATTTATGGAAGCCCATTCCTGCCACTTAAAACAAAAATCTAATCATCTAATTATTATTGTGTACATGTGCGTGTATGTAAATATATACAAATACACACATATATATAAATGTTCTATATTTATATATGTAATATTTTGTAAAGATAATGTTTTTTTATTATCTACATAATTATTTAATTGTAGTTCAATGTAAAATGGTTAATTGCAGTGAAACTTACGAACTCAGATGTCTTTACAGTGGTGGTGATAGGAACCAGGGGTCACCATGACCACAACACAAACATAGACATTTTATTTACTATCCAAAACCACCAGTGAACCTACACGACTCTTCTGAGATTTTCAAATGGTAAAATAGCGTTAAATCTGGAAAAATAAGTTTTCTTTGGGGACTATTTTGCCTCACCTTGCCCTGCATGTAACCCTCCACTATGAATGGATTAAAATAAATGGATTAACAAGACATTTTAGACCAAAACTTAATCACAAACCTGTCATAAAACACATGTCTTCAGAGTTTTTATATGCAATGTTGATAATTCTTGAATTCTTTCTGTGAGGGAGCTCTTAGAGGCAGTAAACACTGCTGCCCGGTTCTGTCCACCAACACCATGGACAATTCTGACTCAAGACGTTTCTCTAGAGCTACAAAAAGATGAAAATAGCACATTTTGTCCTGCCGTTAAGTGCCTCAGGTTTGCCTGCACTAGCGGTTTTTTGGATTTCTTGCTCCTTAG